GTCATCCCATTATCGGCTCCCAAATTGCCAGAATTGGAAACGTATGTAAAGGGATTTGGGCAAGGGCCCTTCAAAGTTTCTACATGATTTAGTCGGCCCAAAAATTGGCTCCACTTAGCCCAGCCATGATAGTTTGTGATCGATTGCGCGCGATGAGTTATTCAATTGAACCGAGTGATTGATGGGCGTGACTCTTTAATGTAATACCCAAGTAAGTGCTACACTTAGTATTTATTTTCTAATTTAGTATGATTAATGCAAAAACTAAAAGCTACTCACGTAATTTTTGCAGCATATATTTTTAAGAAACTTTATAAAAATTAGGGTCTTGGCCCTTATCTGAAATCTATCGTCAACGATAAAAAATCTCGGATCCAACGATATAAATATTCAGTTTGTAATCGCTGGTCTATTACGGCCAGTCTAAGGCTTTGGGATTAAGATATATGCTTAGGTCTCTCTTATATTACATCGAGTTGACTTTACCAAAGATAACCTTACTTAGAGCTTAGTTTTTACGCAGACATTGAGTTATACATTGAATAATGCTGGCTGGGTACATTTTTTATCGTCACATAACCGTTGACATAATTTTATGATTATGTCTAACTCGCCACCATTATACTAAAGACTTTATTATTATAAACTAGATTGAATTTGTTTTATAAATAAATTTTAGTATCTTATCATGGTCAGTTACAACTAGAATCAAACTTCGGAGGTCTTACTATAAGACGTGGTACTTTGCACCAATAAGAATTAATTAGAAGTTATTAACTTATGATCGTGCTGACATAAGTGAGTATACAGGAAGGTGCAGTGGCCGAGCAATCAAAATAAACTCATACAATAATGAGGTGCGTGACAGGTGGAGGCGAGCAGCGCCCGGTGACCGACCCGCGGCAAGACCCATCAGATGCTCATTAGCCATTCATTTCCGACACCGCGGCCTCACGTGCGCCCGCGGCCTGCACTGAGGATCCAGTACAACGTCACGTGCGTGGACATAACAATACAGCTATCTATGTAGGTGTATCTTACTACCTGCTATCTGAATTAGAAGAAAGTTTTATCTCATTGAATGACATTAGTTGAATCGTACAATATCTCCTCAGATTGAGTATTTAGGTTTAATCTAATTGTTGATCCAGTACTACTATTAACTCGTCGAGTACCGTATTTATAGACACAATTAAAGAACAATAGGTTGCGGTCACCGGTGACCGCTTGGTGTTTGACAGTTTAATTCAAATTCAAATGCAACAAAAATGTATTTTTTTTATTTGATAAGATATGGATCAACTGATAGTAAGCAATCAGCGTCACCTATGGACATCCGGAACACCAGAGGCATAACAAGTGATTACTATTGGAGATGATTTTGGAGATTAGGAATTTGAGGATTATTGGGGATACAGGCATGGGGAGATTGGGGAAGGGGGGGGGGAGGTAATTGGACATCTGGTAACCTCACTCACACGACGAAATATAATACAAGCGTTGTTTCACGTCAGTTTTCTGTGAGGCCGTGGTATCACTCCGGTCGAACAGGCCCATTCGTGCCGAAGCATGGGTCTCCCACACTAAACACGAGATGTCTTATTTATACGAAAACAATATCAAAATTGGATCTGCCCTTGAACTAGAAAGTTAAAGTAATTAAAGGTTGGATCAATACTATGTCACTACGTATCACTACGTCACTAGCATACAAGATGTGAGTTATGTAAATGTAGTCAGTTCCGGGGATGCAAGGATACGTGGCTGTTTATGACACAACCAATGGCAAACCGGTGCGGTACCGGCACTTCCTAACGAGCAATATTTAATATCAATAATATTAACCGTTTCATTATAGCGTCGCTTGTTATAAGAACCATTATTTATATTTTTATGAGATAGCTCGTGTTATAAATAGTTTAATATGTTGTATAAGGATAACGCTCGGTGTATCATAATAGCTGTATTACCGGTTAACATAATGACATTCAAGTGTTTCCCCGGAGAGGTGTAGTGCAGCGTCGCCTGCAGTTAACCCAGTTTAGTACAGCAGCGTTCCAATACCAGCGAGGTCCTTGATTTATTGAGCTTAATCTACTTTAGTTTAGTCTACAAAGTTTCAAAATGTTGCTTTAAATGCAATTTAATCAGACAATGATTTTAAAAAGTAAAAGCTAAATAATGGTATAAGAATGTATATAATGTTCCAGCCTATTATACTATTAAATTAGCAATGAAAGCTACAAAATGTGATGTAAATAATGTGATCTCCATAACAAAACATTACGACAACGTACACAGAGTATGTCACACGTGTCATTATTACTTGACCACTCACAGTAATGAAGCGGACAATTACCAAAACAGCGCACAATACTCCACGGCGCGTATACATGGTGTTCTCATTGTAACACATTTCGTTTGATTATATTTTCGTCATCTATCGATATCAGTATCAACTTGCATCGTAAACGGTTTTTAATGTTTTCGCAATCAAACGTGTGGACATTAAAAGGTAAACGTTGATTCGATTCTTGATAGAGACAACCTTGAGTGACATTCAATAATTTTGATGTGAATTCGTGTTACGATTTCCAGATAAGTTAGTAAATAAAAACTGAATAAAATCAAGAAATGTACGAACGAAGTAAAATTTCTTATTGTGTGCAGAAAAGTTTAATAGAATTGAGCAGAATTTCAAATACATACTTAATATTTCATAAGCCCGCATCTGGCTAGAAAGCAAATAAAATAAATAAAGTCGATGAATAAACCTGCGCAGTGCACATTGGACTGCACAAACTAAACAAGTATTCATGGCACTCGAAGGGAATTTGTAAGCATTGGAAAATGGTAAATCAAGACCAAGTTTTCTTAAAACGCGGTGGACGGACGGAGAAATGAATCGTGAAATAGCTATTACTTCCACAATGGATGAAATCCTTTGAAAATAAGTAAAAATGTAATGCACCGCTAACAAGCTGCGATCGTTGTGACTTGCTTTCAAGCCAACAGAACGAGACGCCCGGACTAATTGACTCGGTTTGTACATGTGTACTTTAATAACAGAGAGGAAGAAACTGAGAAAGACGACTGCCCCGTTGGCCGAGTGTTCGCAAGTGCTACTGCTGGGCAAGGGGTCTTGGGTTCAATTCCCGGGTCGGACAAAGTAATACTAAAATATACTGGGTTTTAAAAAGAAATCTAATTAGTAGCACGGAGTCTGGAAATGTGCCCGATATATGGCAATAGGTTCACCCCCATTACATAGGAGCCATAACATAATTAGTGAAAAGTGGGTGTTACATTGTACAGTGGCATTAAGTACCGTAACGTGCACCTCTGCCTACCCCTTCGGGGATAATAGGCGTGATGTTATGTTATGTTATGAGAAACTTTTCGTCATAAATGACCCATGCAATGCATGTTGACAAACACTCACAAAATAGAACAAGTTACACAATGTATTTTTCAGTTGTTTTCAGCGAAAATACTCGAGCAGGTCTCGACTAAGTGCTGTCTATTGTGAACATATATTATTATGAAGTAGAGGAGCCGTGGATTCAGGTCAACGATATGCTATTTTGTAATGAGTAGTTAGTCGCAAGGTCAGGCAGTGTCGGGTTTAGTGTAATAGTGTGCTTTCTTTTTATCTTACAAGTAATGTATGCATGTCTATAAACCATAAATCGATAAGTTTATTTTTGTTCAACTGTATTCTATACTTAAATTTTTTATTTCTATTTTTATTAGTAACAATGCTGTAAAGTTGTAGGTCATTGTTAAAAAATTCAAAGTTGTTGATTACAGATTCATAATTCTTTATCGTCTCTATAATTAAGGACTGCGAGTATAACGAAGTGCCCACGATATCGACCTCTACTTGTACATAATTATGTACGCATGGTAAGATACATACATACCTGCAGATTCTCTGTTCCTGCTTTTTTAAGGGGTAACATCATCTAACGATTTCTCCCGCCTTGGGCGAGGCGACAGAGAGCGTCAGACTCTTACTGACAAAAGTCACCCCCTACCTATTCCTGCTTCAATCCCGTGGCCCGGTAAACCCCGATTGTATAAATATGCCTACAGCTTCAATATTTCAGTATTTGAATGCAAATACGTCATGTTTAAAAACTATACTAGGTAAACCATTTAAAAGTATGAACCATTCATGAAAATGAAACATTCAGTACGTTTATTAAACATATATTTCAGTTTACAAACTGTTTATTTGTTCAGCTGAAAAACATTATTTTTTCATTAAATGTGATGTATTTTAACAGAATTTCTAACTGTTTCACAATACTACATTATATTTATTGTATTTATTGTATTGTTTATTTATAAGAAAACAATGTTTTATCTGTGGACACAAAAACTGAACTCTTATTGGCTCGTCCATCTTCATACAGACAATAAATATTAGTTTATCTAGAAGATATAGTAAATCCTAACAAATACGTTGTAATCGAACAACTGATTAACTGTAATAAATTACGTTAACGAAAGCATTCAACTTCGAGATAACAATGTTCGCACTAAGAATTAAATGTTAGCTCTGTAACAGAGCATTTTTTACAATTTCATTGTTTCTATTTACTAAAAGTCCTCACAGATGCTTCTGATGTTCAGTAATTTAACAATTTCTAAGAAATATTATTGTGTGCGTGCCATCAATAACTAACTTCTGTAATGTCTATAAACTATTATGATGATTGATTATTGTACATAAGCACAAACAGGCGATATACACAATCACATAGATGAAATGTTTATCTGAAAATCGACGTAGTATTTGGGAGAAGTCAATACACTGTAGGTGTGGAGTATAATCTATTCAAATGAGACTGTTTACGGCCATTTTTTGCCGTTAATTTCTTTATCAGTAGTGTTCAGTTTCAACTTCTTTACTAAATTACTTAGAACTAATTAAAGTACGCAACTATTACATGTTAATTCTGTTTATTGTCTAAATTCAAGATTCATCAACTCACCGGGTTTTGGCACCGTCGTCATCTCGGTAGGATCACAGTCAACCATGTTTAGTAGTTCACTTCACACACTGCACAATTTTCGAAAATATAGCTTATGTCGTAGTAGTATCGTATTAGTATCGTTAGTGTATCGTATAGGTACGCGGTCGCCAAGGCAACGCGGAGCAGGAAGTGAGCGTCGCGCGCGCGCCTCGCCTGTGCGCGTACGTCGAGTCGCTCATGGTTTTATATCGCTTAGATAGAGTCGCGTGCGCCACAGCCTTACTGCAGCCCATTCAAAACAATGAGACATGTAACTAGTGCGAAATATTATTCTGTCACTCTGTTTTACCTGTGTGTTTGACATATTCAAATCATCAAATCCGGAGGAAGCTTACTTAAATGAATAACAAACTCAATTTAATTAAGTTAATTAAGTTTTGGGATGAGTCCAGGGAAAAAATAATGAAGATATCCAGATTATATTTTTAATGGGAGACCTTCAAAGGCCTTTAACTTTTAGCGCTCACTAAAACCAGCACCTATGAGAGGCTCCAGGTGCTTTGCATAGACCTAGTAGTCGAATAATTCTCCCAATTAGGATAGATTAGACAAATGACTTGACTAGTGAAACGTGGACGTCAAGGTATTTCAGGCCACCAATACAGATATATAGTATTTAAAAAATATATAACAGACAGATAGATCACAGACATGCTCCGCCATTGACTTCGACGCACTTGACGCGTGTGACGTCACATCAGTGAGAGTACGTATCATGAAGTATTGGAGTGCAATGTTATTGATTGAACCATCTCCAGATAACTGCCAGCTACGATGACTATCAATTAAATTAAACAATGTATGTGGGTTAAATGCTGATAAAGTGTAAATATCAATTAATAAGTTTTCTTTGTTTTTAATCTCTTGCATGGAACCTTATATTAGATTAATATTTTCTTAGCTAGGTAAGTTACGGCACAGTTTGAGACGAGGATATGTAGGTAAAGTTATTGGTTACTAGCTTTTACCCGTGGCTTTGCCGGCGTATTCCTGTTTTATCCCATGGAAGCATTTAATCGAGATAAAAAGTATCCTATCACCTAATTCAGCCTGTATACCAAATTTCATCAAAATCCGTTCCGAAGTTTCAGCGTGAATAACGGACAAACATGCAAACTAAGAAATTTTTCACATTTATAAGGTGTGATGTGATTTTATGCCAATTATTAACTTAATAATTCGGCGTTAAAATAAAATATAATAACATCTTATCATCCAATAACGAAGACTAAATGCTTTTCCAAAAATACAAGAATAATTTCGTCAAGCGTCCGCAACGAGTGGACCCCACCCTACTGCTACAGACCGACAGACCTACAGCTACTGACGTAATTAATAACAACAAACACAACTCACTTTCTTTGGACCTCTCTTGTAAGGACGCTGGTTGTTTTACGCGGACGTAAAAACTTTAACTTTATGTAATTGTGATTATTGCAGAAGTATGATATAATTAGGTACAATAAAACCTATTGATATTTTTATCATCATCACCAACTGCTGCATCGCTAAATGCAAAGAAGAAAGTCAAGTCTTTTGGGTGACACAAAGTCTTGAAAGTCTATATTTTGTAACTGATATGAAATGTTCCCCAGAGGTAATAATTCACATGAATTATCTCTCTATTTTATTCTCAATTGTATATTATTTAAGTTCATATTCGTATGAATAGTTATAATTAGTTTAAAATCATGTAAAATTGAGGAAAAACTTGTAAGAAAATTTAGCAACATGTAACTTTTCGCGTAAATCAATTTGCTTCTGTAAACCGTATTTTTCGAAAGTAAACTTTGTTACTAATTAAATGTTCATGTTGTTAATTCGGCCAGTAGGGACGCCGGACGCTGACAAACGGGAGGAAACTTAATTCCCTCCCAGAGAGGGCCGGCCCCCTGTGCCCGAGACAATTATGCTAAACACAACTGTGATTAGCACCGCTTTCTTTATACGCTTACTGTTTTCCTTCAAATCTAAACGAGACATAAAATAACAAGGGATAGTGAAACAAAAGTACTTTTGTGTTTGTAGTTCGTTCTTTCCTATATTATCTTTTTTTTTGCGAATTATCGTTAGTTACATGTTAAATGCAGTGTTGAATTTTTTCGATTTTCCTTACAGATTTTATGATATCGAAAGCAGGAAATGCTATCAACTGTAATGTTGTTAGTTTTATCTTTTATGTAACACGATACAGCGTCATTGTACTTACTTTACCTACACGATTTGTTATTGTTTTTTACTTAAAAATCTAAACGATTGCAAAAAGATACTTTCAAGTAAAAAATTACTTAGGAAATTCAGATTTATCGAGGCAGTCCTATTTATGACTATTCGACGAATGAGGTAGTGAAATTACATGTTCCAATTACAAATCTATCCCTTAAATGAACTTTTATCTGAAAATTACCAGTTAACTGACCGAATTTTGTGTTTTTTTATCTAAACAGATATGTCACTGAAGGTATATTTGAAATTCAGGTTTTTTCCTGTAGTTAATAAGTCATGATTACTTTTACTTATTACGAGTAGTGTTAGTAGCTGTGTAATAACGGTGGGTATTATGTGAACAACATACAAGTGTTTGGGTTTTACAATGTTATGTGAACACAGCTCTTGTGGACTGACTCATGAAATAGATGGAATTACTGATTTATAAGATTCTCTTATCATATGAGTTCCATACTTCACATTATAATAACCAATTATTTGTGGTGAACTACTACTGACACATTACATAAGATCACGCCTTTTATTTTCGAAGGGGTAGGCAGAGGTGCACATTATATCACTGTACAATGTAATACCCACTATTCACATGTAATAGGGGGTGAAAACCGCCGGAGACCCCCTGCCCGGCAGTCGCACTTGCGACCACTCGGCCAGAGAGGCAGTCTGTCATACTGAATAACTATATATACTATATTTTACATTATAACATCACTCTTTTTAGCCCTGATGTATGAGAGGTGCACATTACCGCACTTAATGTCACTGTACAATATAACACCCACTTTACACTATGTTTGTTATAAGTCCCATGTTATAGGGGGTGAGCCTTTTGCCAACATTATAACAATGATAGTTATTACATGTACAACATTAACAGTTGACCCCAATGAGATCAAGTCTTCACGGCTCATAATCTTGGGAAAGACTTAATGACAATTTCCTATCTTGAGACTCACTGTTAGAACGAGTCGAACATCAGGTCTATCACATAACAAACGAAAGAGATAGAAAATAAAAATTGGAGATGACATTCAAATAGGTTATTTGATTGTATCTAGTAGACACAACAGATTATCTCGTTATACTCGTATTATGTTATTCTAAATCTATTCACACAATCGTCATGTAATCAACAAAATCAACGACACAAACAAAAAATATACAAGCAAATAAACGAGGACCAGCCAGTTGTAACTCTGGGCACGTCGCAACCACACACACGTAGAGGTCTCGATATATTTGTCACTATTTAATGTGTTTTCCTTAATTAATCTCTCATCTAATTCTTAAGGAAGATATTTATGAAAATATTGGCAAAGGAAAATGGTCTCGAAAATCTTGAGCTGTCCTTTACAGACAGGATATATTTGTGTGACATGCATATTAATTTGCATCTTGTCCTTTGAATGTTATTTCATTAGTACTTAGTACTTACATTCTCTTTCAGAATTGTTTTACGAAGTACCGCGATTCGAAAGGAGAACTTTTTATTTAGGATGCTTTTGAGAGATCTGTAACCCTTTATGTCTTTTTCAATATAGCATGAAATTTTCATTCATTTATGACCATAAATCGTAAAAATATCTGTTTATTACTTGCAATTTTCAATTCAAACTGAAATGTGTGAGAGCCATGCTTCGGCATGAATGGTCCGGCTCGACCGGAGTGATACCACGGTCGAGCAGAAAACCGATGCGAAACAACACGTGCGTTGTTTTTAGGAGGTCCCCTGTCCCCCAATCTTTTCAATCCCTGAATCCGAAATAATCCTCAAATTCCTAATTACCCAAAAGACCGGTAACGCACTTGCAGCGACATATCCCATAAAAAAAATCAATAGATCATTGACGTATGCAATGCGTGGACGCAATGTTTTGATATTCATTTGTTTTTCGTATAAGTACATACATGATTGAGGTCACAGATGACAGTAGTTTACGTGACCAACACCAGCTGCAGTTCTTGAGCAGTTCGGAGAAGTCACATCTTGAGGAAGTCTCATTGAATTTGTTTGTGCTCTATTGTAATCGATGCTGTCACAATTTATGATGGAGACATATAATCAGTGCATGTAATCAGTTTTTTTACTATTTTTATAATTATAGTAATAACTTCTGCTACTAAACATGATTAACATGATTTAAATAATATTATAATCTATCTTTTTGTCGATTTTGTATATATAAATTAGTTAAGCAGCCTTTGCGTAAAATAGAAAGTAACAATTACACATTGATCCACATAAAAAATCTACGTTTTTTTTAAGGGAGGAAAATCATCGAATGACTTCTCCCGCCTGGGTAAGGCGGGAGGGAGTGTCAGACTTTTACTGACTAAAAACCACTCCGTTCCTTCTCCTGCACTTCGAGCCGGAGCCCTGGTAAGCCATTAGGTTCTCCTCGACCGTTAGGTTCTACGTTTAAAATAGTATTCTGTGGTTTAAGTATAATGTTAACAACATTAGAGGTATATTTATGATTTTAGAAAGATTCAGATTTCAATCAAATTTAACATGTACAAATGAAATGTACTCTTAAAAGTGTAAGATAAGATTAAATTATAAAAAATCAATTTATTATTCGTGTCAGGTAGCGCTTGTGGTTTTCCTCTAAAGTTATTTTGAGAAATGTTTGTGGTTGTTTTGTCCTTACGTCAACTGGACGTGGACGTGATCTCGTAGAGCATCCATGCAATCACCATGATCATGTTAATGACTGGTGATTCCCAGATGCGTCTCATCGTGATCGGATTTTTTTTAATCATATTGCACAATGT